AAGGAGTGTCTCCCTGGTGCTAACATTCACGTTACATAGGCCTGTCTACTGTCTGGCTCAAAGTTGAGCCTTTTTGGACATAAACGCCAAAAGGCTGCGAGTACACCTCCTGACCTCTAGGGGGAGCCACGCACGCTGTTTGGAAGCACTGCGGTGGGGGAGGGGAAAGGACTGGGTTCTAATTCAGATTCCCAACTAGCTTCTTTTGTATCCTTTTATAAGTTGCTTTCTCTCTGAGGTCTCAGTTTTACCCTTCTGTAAAATAGGGTTGGGGGATGGCGTTGGGGATGGTCTCAGCTGGTCCCAACAAAGGCAAGTGAAAGTTACTAACCACGGGGCCACTGGCACTCCAGAACCCTTGGGCTGGGAGCAGGCATTCCCCAGGCCCTCCAATGTTCCCACCAAAGTCTGGAGAGCATTTTTATTTTTTCTGTTCTATGCAGATGGTGGGACTCAAACCCCAAGGAATTAGGAGGAGATGGGGAGGAACATGACCTAGGAACTGGAGAAGGGAAAGCTGGCCCCAACCCCACCTCCAACCCCTTTCTTGGTCACCACTCCCAGACCAGATCCTTTTGTTCTTCCTAAATCAGCTAATCTCTCCTCTAGCTGGAGACCCTTCCCCCTTTAGCCCTACAGGCCTCTCTGTTCCCACATCAGCCTCCAAACAGTGAAGGTTAGGTAGTCCCCAACTTAAAAAACCAAAATCAAACTCACTGCTATCAAGTTGGATGCAACTCATAGTGACCCCTCCTTGGGTTTCCAAGGCAGTATCACTACAGAAGTAGATCACCCAATCTTCCTTCTGAGGAGTGGCTGGTGGGTTTGAACCGCCAGTCCTCTGGTTAGCAGTCAAATGCCTTAGGCCCTACACCACCAGATCTCCCCAGTACCTGACTTAGGACTTACTTTTTTTAATACATCTTATCATTTGTAGTATGTACTACAATGTTGCAGCATGTAATTTGCTGATGTCATCATTCTCTCTGATGTTCAGTTGCAGATATTCAATGTTATGATTTGTAAATTAAAAGGCAATAATAATAAAAATAAAATAAAAAAAAGAGGTACAAGGATACCTTCAGAGATATTGCAGGTTTGACTCCAGACCACAGCAATAAAGTGAATACTGCAATAAAATGAGTCATACGAATGTTTTGGTTTCCTGGTGCATATAGGGTACTATACTACAGTCTGTGAAGGAGCTCTGGTGGCACAATGGGTAAGGCAGGAATTTCCCTGCTAACCAGAAGGTCACTGGTTCAAACCTGCTCCATGGGAGGAAGAAAAGGCAACCTACTTCCATAAAGATTTACAGCCTTAGAAACCTTATGGGGGTTGCTCTGAGTTGGAATTGACTAGATGGCAGTAGGTTTGATTGGCTACTTTTTTTATATAGTCTATTAAAGTGTGCAATATATTATGAAAATGTTTGAAATATTGTGAGAATGACCAAAATGTCCACAGAGACACGAATGAGCACCTGCTATTGGAAAAATGGTGCTGATAGACTTGCTGGACACAAGACTGCCACAAACTTTCAATTTGTAGAAAACACAGTGTCTACAGGGCACCATAAAATGAGGTATGCCTGTATTCTATTTCAGGAAGAGGTAACTAACTATGGGGAGGAAGTAGGAAACAGTTTACCATGTCGTTGGAAGGAAACACCATCGTAGGTTGGAGACTACCTGTATACCCAACTCTTAGCTGGGTATTTCCAGAGGACCCGGGACATGTCGTTACCTTGTTCATTGAGCCTACTTCTGTTGGGAATGTCCGATGTGCCAGGCCCCGTGCGAAGCCTAGGGAGAGGGAGAAATGATCTAAAGTTGGAACTCTGCTCTCCCCAAGACTCCTGATGGCTAGCTCATCTGCTAGTGAGGGATAGGGACAACAGATTAGCTAGACGATGTCAGCTACTGTAGTGATCATGCTCTGAAAGAAATAAAGCAGGGTCACGTGATAGAAAGTCACACAGGGTGGGGGGTACTTTAAACCAGGAGGGAAGCCTGTCTCATTTTACCTGAGCCACAGACCCAGAGACTCCAAGAGGGAGGAGTAACAAGTGCAAGGGCTACAAAAGAAATAGTATTAATTTGAGTGAAGGGAAAGGCAATGGACCAAAAGCAAGTGACCAACCCAGTAAACTAAGGAAAAGGAAGACACAGAGTGGTACACAAGAGGTACAGACAACAAAGATAAACCTTTTTACATATACAACACTGCATTATCAGTGATAACAAACATTAATCTATGGGTAAACAGATGGGTAGATAGGCTGAATGATCAGGTATGTGTAGGCAAAAGGGAATATACCCATGCGCATATATTAGATTGGCAGATGATATTTCTACATACTATTTGCATGTGCTGTAAGAATGTCCATATATGAAACAGAGCTAACAAGGGGCAAAGTTACAACTTTTTGGCCAAAGCCAAACGCCCTGAGGGACCAAGTTGCTGGACCTGTGGGCTCAGGACCATGGTCACAGGGGACATCAAACTCAATTGATATAACATACTACACAAAAATATTGTTCTACCTCCTACTTTGTTTAGTAGTGACTGGGGTCTTAAATGCTTGCAAGCAGCCATCTAGATGCAACAATGGGTCTCTCCTCATCCAGAGCAAAGAAGAATGAAGAAAACCAAAGACTCATGGACACAATTAGTCCAAGGGACTAGGAAACCATGTGATCCTCAGCCTATATGACCATGAGACCAAAAGAACTAGATGGTGCCCAGCTACCACTGTCAACCCCTTGGAGGGTGATAGGTGCAGGAGGTCCTGGATATAGTGGGAGAACAATGTGGAACAAAATTCAAAACCATAAAAAAAGACCAGATTTGCTTGTCTGATAGAGCCCCATGAGGCCTCTGAAACTATAGCTCTTAGTTACCCTTCAGATCTGGAACTGAACTCACTCCTGTGGCTTCCAGCCAAACAACAGACAGGCATATGGGGTGAACATTTACATCAGGTAGATACACTCGCTGAAGCCATCAATCATGGGAGAACAGAAGGGCAGTACTTGCTCATGTAGATAGCTTGGTGGGTGGGGTGGAAAATGCATAGGAAAGAACTACACAGCAGAGGTAACTATTGGGAAGGAAGTAGGAAGAGAGCTGTTACTTTGTGGGGAATTGCAGTCACTGTCATGAAACAAAATGTGTATGAACTGCTCTATGGAAAATGAATTTGCTCTGTCAACTTTCACCCAAATCACAATAAAAATTAAAAAAGAAACAAGCTGTGTGTGTGTGTTTTCACATTCCAACTCCCTAGTCTTCCCTCTGGGGGAATCAAGGAGCCTTTTTTGGGAGGACCGGGTCTATCCAACAAGGTAGGTGAGTGGAGAGGCGCTCTCTAGTGGTGACAAGAGTTAAATTTCACATTGCTTCCCTAGAATGCCACACTGCTGGTGACTAGACTATGGGCTAATTCTGAGTTTCACTCATTCCTGTATCTTTTAAATGTATACGTTCAACAAATATTTACTGAGACCAAGTAGGTCCCAGGGAATGTTCTGGATCCAGGGAATAGAACTGACATCCCAGAGGACTGTTAGCAGCCAGGTAGTAGTTCAGGTCTTTGCATTTGCTGTTTTCTCCCCCTAGAAAGGTCATCCCAGCTCTTGCACAGCTGTTTCGAAGTTCAGGTCTCAATTCAAATGTCATCTGGTAAGAAAGGTGTGAATTTGTCTTGTTTATGGCCTGTTCCCTTCACTAAAATATAAGCTACATGAAAGTTCTCTATTTCCAGGATTCCCTCCGCCGGGCGCTTAAGCAGGAGTCCTTAGGAGGTGCAAACGGTTAACTGGCTCAGCTCCCAACAGAAAGGTCTGCTGTTTGAATCCACCAGCTCCACCGGGGAAAGACCTGGCAATCAGCTTCCATAACGATTTACAGCCTAGGAAACCCTATTCTCTCCTAGGGGTCGCTATGAGTCTTAATCCACTGGACGGCACACAAGAAATGCTAAGGAGGAGTTCCTGGGTTGTGCAAACGGGTAACACTTTGAGTCCACCCAAAAGTAACTCAGAAGAAAGGCCTGTGGGAAAAAAAAAAAAAAGGTCTGACGATCTCCGTCTCATTAGTCAGCCATTGAAAACGCTACTGAGCACGAGTCTACTCTGACACACGAGAGAGGTCGCCATGAGTGGGAGTCGACTCCACAGCAACTGGTAAAACTATATTCACTTACGTTCGTGTCTCCTCTAGAATGTAAGCCCCAAGAGGGCAGGGGGTGCTGTCCATTTTGTTCCTCCCCCTCCCACTCAGCTCCCAGACAGGGTTGGCACCCAGGAGGGGCTCACTAAACACGGACTGAATTCTACCTCAGCCTGCTATTTCTCCTGCAGAACTTCCGCCACCTTCTTCCAAGGATGAAAAAGGCTTCGGTAGGGAGGTGACCTCAGGAGGCCTGGCCCAGGAGCCCGAGCTCTGACAGTAGCACCATCTGAGTAGCTGTGGAGACAGCAGGCAACCTAGCCGGAGCGCGCCCAACCGCGGGCACGAGGGGTATTTCCTGGCAGAGTCGCTCCCGGAAGGGGGCGGTTTCTCCCATGAAGGCGCGTCACCTGACTAGCAAGGCACCGCCCACCTCCTCGTGGGCGGGGCGTAGAATGGGCGGGGCGCATGCAAATAGTGCCAGGGCTGCGGCCAATCACGGCGCGCGCCCGGCGTTGAGTCCGGGGATCCGGGACGCTGGCTCGCGCGCAGGCTCGAGCTGTGGCCGCGCCGGGTTTCTGCAAGCGGTTTTGCGGGCCTGCGAGCCGGGGTTGTAGACGTTTCTGCGACCTCTTGCTTGTCCTTTACGGCCGGCCGGGTCAGGCTGGGCCAGGCCG